TTTTTCCTTCTTCTTCCTATAGCCCAATCATATTCTCCAAATACTATATATAATTTATTTATTGCCAATCTTCCCATCTTAAATTTCTCTAAAACAACAAATATAGTTTCATGTAAACCATTTTATATTATGTAAAGCTAAATTTTGTGACCATTCAATAAAAATATCAAGCTACTCATTGACCAAAAAAAAAGTCTACTCATTACATGTATTGATGATATATTTGGAGAAAAAAAAGAATTTTAAGAATAAAAATTAATGAGGGCAAGGACTAGGACCACTATAAGATCTACTCATTTCTTGTATTGATATTTCAAACGAAACCAAAATGCAAAGACAAACTTAGTAAGGGATAATAAGAGAAGGCATCAATGGAATTGGATGATATAGTCAACACCGAAATGAAACCTCATCCACGCTTCTCTAAAAAAGTGTTCAAAACTTGTTATAATGTTGTTATATCTCTCTATTATTATTTCAACTATAATTTATAGCCATCCTTTTTGAGTTAGAAAAAAAAAAATGGATCTTCTCAAAACCTAATAGAAATTTACCACTAAAAATCTAAACAGGATCATAACATGCCGAGAAATTTAACAGAGTTTGAGTTTGTTACTGCTTTTATAATGATGAAATTGTTGTAAAAGGAGGCTTCTCCTCCTCTCACCATCAAAAACCTCTTTGTTTAATTTCAGATTATCCATTGATGATTCCTCTGACTTAAACTCTTTTTCCGCTGTCTAATTTTTTTAGCCCCATCTCTACCTTAGCCCTCTCCTTTCCCCCCTTCATTCTTTCTTTGTTATCATTGCATCACATTATGGTGAGACTTTGTCCTGAAATAGACATCGGAAAACTTTCAATCTTTTTTTAATCTAATTCGCATTCCACGTAAATACCACTCGCCGTGTTACAACCTTACGGTTAACCCTGCCCTATCTACGCACCTTACTTCAAGTGTTTACGTAAAACAAAGCATAGATGAGTGTAAGTTCGTGAATTTGTTACCGAGAATAAGATTTTTGAACAGAGAATCTTGCTAAGTAGCTTTATCATCTTCGTCCATTGTGTCCTCCTGTTTCTGATCCCCGTCAGCTTCATGGCTTCCTTCTGAATCGGGATCCAAAGAGTGTGGCCTGTTGTCATCATTCATATCAGAACCATCTGTGTCTGAGTCTGAGACAGAACTGTGTTTTTCCTTCCCACGGTCATCATCTGTATCAGAACAACTTTCTGTCTCAGAGTCCGAACCAGTACCATGTTTTATCTTTCTCTGATCAATGATCCCCATTGTTTCGTTAACAACTCCATGCTCAGCATCATCCTCGCTTCTAGTGACCAGGACCTCGGGGACTGTCGGTTTAGTTTGACTTTCGTCTACCTGAGTAGCAGAATCATGTACTATGGTCACTTCCTTGATTCTTTGAGTCTGACTCTCTTCATCCTCTCTAACTCTTTCGGTTTCATTTTCGTTTTCTCCGTGTACAGACGCAGGTGTGCTATAAGCCCAACTCCCAGCAACTTCAGAAGCTAGAAGATCTGACGTTCTGATAGTGCCTACTCCCTCCGTGTCTTGTGTATCCCTTTCATCGTTCAAGGGGTTCCTTAACAAGAGAGCAGCTTCATCATTCTGAACACTTTCATGCACCTGAGTTTCACAATCTATTTGCATCGTATCACCCGCTGAAATTATTGATTTCCGCAGATGATCGTTTCTCTCATAATCATTTCCTGGACTTTGAGTTTCATTGACTTGCTCTGTTCCTACAGGGTCCGTTCCCAAAATGGGTGCTGTACCGACACCTTCTATATCTGAGCCAAATCCACCCTTCCCGACTTTGTCAGAGCTTGTATATTCTGCCTCTTGGGTGTTTTGGCCTTCCTGACTCATGATTTCGCAATCATGCTTCTGAGTAGCATCCGCATCTTCACAGGACGTATCAAGAACTTCATCTCTGTTAGACCTTTGCCCTGAAGTGGACGAGCTTGCCTTGGCAGCACAATTCGTATGGCCAGTTGCTCTTTCATCTTCCTGAGTATTAGCTCTGTTGGGGTTTCTGTTTACCGGATTCAGATCAATATCTAGCGAAGTATTGTCAAAATTTTCCTCATCTTCCAGAGTTCTCCGCATCGTCTTGAGCTGTTCCTGCTGCTTTGCAAACAGAGCCGAGATCTCCTCAGTCGTAGAATAAAATGCCCGCATCTGAGTTTCACTGCATGAAGATTCCGTGTGTCAATAAGTTAGACCAATCAAACTTGCGTGACAATGAATGTTAATAGTTTAAGGCATAAGCGTCAAGAAGAAACTACCTTCCGATCAAGAAATCTAGACACTAAAAGAACTGTCAATAAACACAAACTTAAACGAGAATAAAGAAAAAGCATGCATATGTTAAAATTTTCACCATTGACGTTGTGAAGATCTACCAGAAAGTAGATTACCCAACCAATCATATACAGAAGAAATAGCAGCCTATAGTAAGAAGCACCATGCATGTAAATGTTCTTACCGGAGCATGATTTTTTCTCTTGCACCACGGTGTCTCTGTCTTTCAACATCAAGATCTCGAACAGCAGCACTTATCTCTAGTTCTAAAGCAGACACTTTCGCCCATGCCTCTTCTCGGGCTGCCTGCTAACATAACAAAGAAAGTCTCAGCTTAAACTTATAATATAATGGAAAAATTTCCAGCTACATATACACAATATCTCCCAAAGCATATTATCATATTTCTGTAGCAGAAATCAAATGTAGGAAACAGAAACGTGCCATTAATGTAAACTTTTGATAAAAGTATAGTGGCACACAAATCAATTTCCATTCTTACCTTTTCATTCTCCAGATCCTTTTGCAGTCTTTTTATTTCAAGGTCAAGTTCTTCTATTTTCTGCTCCAAATAGAAGTTTATAAAACAAATGCACCCGTTAGTACAGAAAGAAAAGAGAGAAAAGAACCATGCCGAATAAGAGGTGAAGTTGCATTCAGGCCAGGTACTTTTTGTGCATTAGCAGAAGCAAGCTGCTCCTCGGAAACTTGAGCTTCGAGCTGACGGTTTCTATTATCAGAGTAGACCAGCTTTTGCCTCGTATCTTCCTATAAAACACCAACAAACTTCTCAAATGACAGCAAAATGAAAAGAAAAAAAACATAAGTTCAAGGTTTCGATCAAAAAGCTAGTTATCTTCTATCAAATAAATCACAAGAACGTACCAATTTCGACATCAAAGTTTCCACTTGCATGGACCTTTCTTTCTCTGACTCCTGAAATATTTGTCAACTAAACTGCCTTAATCAAAGGCCATAATAATGGAGAAGAGTTAATTTCTACACAGCTGACTCTGTTCATACCTTCATTTTGTTGATTACTTCTTGTTGCTCCCTCTCGTGTCTCATAGCAGCATCAGAAAATCTTTTAAGTTCTTCCTGAGCCTCAATTTGGCATCTATGTACCGCAGCTTTTAGTTCAGCAATAGCAGTTTCTCTTTCCTCTCTTCTTTGATTTCTCTCTTCATCCAACCCTGTCTTCAGTTCATCAATCGATGCCTTTTGACTGAAAGCAGTAAGTAAATTGTTTTAAAGGTTTGCAATGCTCAGGCTTATAAACGCAAAGCCACATAAGATATTCCAGAAAGGTCAATGTAAAGAAAATTATATGAACATGAGAAACAGTTTATACACGCGGCCCAAATAACTTTATAAGCACTGTATATAATTTTAAGGCTATATGTTGTTGCCTAAAAGACCAAAGTGAAACAGCTCAAAGTGTCTTGTGCGTCAAAGGTCAAAGGAGCAACTCATAGTTTCGGTCCATGTAATGTAACTAGCTCGAACTTTCGAATTACAGGGAGGGGAACTGGTTAATGGGGAAAACTAACTTAGAGATGTTTTACTTAAATCATTGTTGGGACAGGTAATTCAAAACTGGAAATCCTAAAGAGGAGTTTCTAACAAGTTGTCACAATACTTGTATAAAATATGATCCTAAGAACGACACTCAACAAGGGAAAAACAATTCAATTACCTTTTAATTATTTCATTTGCTTCACTAAGAGATTGCAAAGAAGTGCTTAGTCTCTCGCCAAGGTCATCTATGGAATGCTTCTGTTCAGCTGATACTCTGTTGACCTGCGCCAGTTCCTTCTGCTTAGTATCTATTAGATCACGCAGCTCAATCAGCTCATTATCAAATGACTTTGTAATGGATTCTCTAATCTGTTTTATTTCCTGCAGGATGCAAAGATATATCAGTAAACTAAAGATAATTAAATAAACCACCAATCCCTCAACAATAATCAACCATTGTTTTTTAATCTTCTACAACAGCATTTAACATAACAAAACCACCACGAACCACAATAAAAACTCAACGAAAAAACTCAACATACACTTTCATGGTGCTCTACAATTGCGCGGGACTCTTTACGCAGAGTGTCAACAGTAAGCACCTGTGCTTCTAATTGCTTCCTCAGTTCCTGCATACAAAATTTATTTGTTGACACAAAAGCAGAGTTAGAATGACAGCAAATCACTTACATCTAATAACGGACACCAGAAGTGAGGATGAACGTACCGTGTTTGATCGCTGGAGGCTCTTAAAATCATCCAAAGATATTGGACCATCAGGACCACCAATGCCTATGCCCTTCGGCCTCTTAATTTCACAAGTTAAATCCTCTACAGTAGCAAAAGCATAGATCAGAAGTGAGAAAACGCGTGCTATATAATAGTGAAAAAAGCGCCCTGAGAAGTGCCATTCTTTAGTCCAATATGCATGGCAAGTTAGGACAGAAAGAATTATTCAAATGTGAGACATTGCCTATGGTACCTGCTTTTCTTTTTCTGCTCATGCAAGAAAGGGCAGGATGATCTCCAAGTACTTCGCGGTAGACAAATGCAAATGACTTTTCTGATAAAATATTGGAACGGTCAAGTGTTAACACCACAATTGAACTGCCAAATGGGCATGAAATGGGAAACATTATATAGCACCCAGACAAAACAAATTTATATATCCGTTTAGTCCTAAAAGCCATTGATGAAAGGTGAGGTGTGAGTTCACGATGCTGAGGTAGAACATATTAGTTACCATGTTCTGGAGGAGCAGCAAGAGCTATGATGTCACCATGTTGAACCCTGACTTCAGGTCCCTTCTTTTTCAACCTCTCCCAATTGAGAAACGTACCATTTGTGCTGAATCAAAAGAGACACAAAAAAGCCTACATTTTACAACAATGACGATACTGAATCACACAACTACAACATGATGGAGGTTCACTAACCTAGTGTCTTCCACAAACACAGATACATCACCGCCTGTGAGCTGCTTACGGTATATCTTACAATGATTCCCACTTATTGCAACCGAATCGATCTGATAACCGGCGTGACACGGGGACCGCCCAAAGCAATGCTCATCAGAAGTCAAAAGTACATTTATCCCCTAAAATTCATTCATCAGGAATCAAATTAAACTTCGATAGAGAATCTATGATTCCAAAATACCAATATCAATGTGTAGATACATCTCGAAATCGAGAAACTTAGGGTTGAAAATAGTGAGCGAGGAAGAACGAACGAACCTGTCGGCGTTTTCGAGCATTGTTTGAAATCGCGGTGAGGACTCCCCAGACGTTTGAATCGTAGTTCTGTAACGGCTGAGAAGCGATGTTAGCAGCGACGGAGACGATGAAATCCTTAGAGTTCATCGCCGGAGATGGAGTTGCCGCGTCGTTTTGGTTATTGATCCGCGACGTTGCCGATGTAATTTTTCCCTCGTCTTGTTCAGCCACCGTAGACGCCATTAACGCTCCGATTCTTAAAGCCGAGAGAAAAATGGCGGGAATTATGCTGTGCAAAGGGGGGGGTCTCTGAGTTTTATTTACTGTAAAAGCTTCTCGAGGAAGACTGATGAGTGATGATGATGAAAGAAGAGTTTGAACACCTTGTCGTTTGTTAAATGGAATAAAAAAATGATCGTCGTTTAAAATAGTAAAAAACGGTAGGGTTTGTGGTATCAGGATAAAGAAACGGTGTATCGTTTGAAGAAGTGTCGGAGTCAAAGAGATAAAAGAAATCGGGCTTTTTCGCTGGCTTAATAAATATAACTGGGCCATCTCTCCTCACCGTAGACCCCATTCATTGGTTTAATGTAAAACGTCATCGTTTGATATAAACGTCATCGTCATTGTTCCATTGATATAAAACACGAGATTAGCAAAAATAATTAAATCAAGTAAAGTTTTGAAAAGTGGGAACATGCTTTGTTCGTTGCTTCGCGGGTAAAAAACCTGGCTTTTTGCCAGCGAAGGTAATTAGGTATCATTTACTTTCTCAAGTAAGAATTAAAAACCAAAAAAAGGTCTGAATTCTATAGCAAGAAAGTGGACCCAAAGGACTACTAATTAAAATTAAGAAATCAAAAGAATCTATAACACTACACGAGAGAGAACATCTAATTCTAAACCTATTGTGTATTAGTATAATCATAAAGCAATTCCAAGAATAATAATTTTAAAATTTTGATGACTTTGGTAACTTTTGGTTTGCCTGTATTTATGCTACAAGAATCATTACGATAATAAGTACTTTATCCATAAATGAAAAATAAGTTAAATAACTCAAAGACAAAAATCTCAACAGAATAAAATCAGATTAACACTGAAAGCAATAATGAAAATGTGATTAAACAAAAGATTTATAAACCTCACTCTAATCCCAGGTTTATCAAACTC